ACACACACACCACATCTTCTTAATCCATTCTTCTATAGATGGATACTTAGATTGTTTCCATATCTTGGCTATTGTGACTAGTGCTGCAATGAACATGGCAGTGCAGATATGTCTTTGAGATCCTGATTCTATTTCCTTTGGATATATACCCAGAAATGGAATTGCTGGATCATATAATACTATTTTTACTTTTTGATGAATTTCCATACTGTTTTCCATAGTGGCTGTACCAATTTACATTCTCACCAATGATGTACAAGGGACCCCTTTTCTCCATATCATCACCAACACTTGTTAAGTCTTGCCTTTTTAATAATACTATTCTAACAGGTATGTGGTGATATCTAATACTGATTTTAATTTGCATTTTCCTGATAATTAGTGATGTTGAGTACCTTTTCATGTACATGTTGGCTATTTGTATGTCTTCTTTGGAAAGGTATTTATTCAAAGGTATTGTATGTCTTCTTTGCCTATTTTTTACTATTGAGATTTTTGCTGTTTGAGGTTTTTTGCTATTGAGTTGTAGGGGTTCCTTATATTTTAGATATTAATCCCTTATCCAGGTAGATGGTTTACAAATATTTTCTCAAATCTATAGGTCAACTTTTCATTTTATTTATTTTTCTGTGTGGAAACTTATTTTTTTAAAGATTTTATTTGAGAGAAAGAGCACAAATGGGGAGTGAGGAGGCGGAGGGGTGGGCACGGGAGGGGCAGAGGGAGAGGGAGAGAGAGAATTTTAAACAGGCTCCACAGCCAGGATGGAGCCAAGGGCACAAGGTTCGATCTCATGACCCTGAATATTTTCACTGAACAGAATGAGACTGATAGTGGTTTCCTTGAAGTATTTTAAAAATGTTCCACCTACCCATGGCATTCATACTTTCTGATGAGAAATTTTGTTATTAAAGGTATTGTTTTCCTATATGTAATGCATCAGTATTCCATAAGAAGCTTTCAAGGTTTTTTTTCCTTTGATTCTCAGCAGTTTTATTATGGTCTGTCTCAGCAAAGGTTTCTTTTTAGTTTATCCTTTTTGTGGGATTACAGGCATACCTCATTTTATTGAGCTTTGCAGATCAGGTTTTTTTTTTTTTTAAAGATTTTATTTGTCCATTTGACAGAGAGAGACACAGTGAGAGAGGGAACACAAGCAGGGGGAGTGGGAGAGGGAGAAGCAGGCTTCCTGCCGAGCAGGGAGCCCGCTGCGGGGCTCGATCCCAGGACCCTGGGATCATGACCTGAGCCGAAGGCAGACACTTAATGACTGAGCCACCAGGCACCCCTGCAGATCAGGTATTCTTTAAAAATTGAAAGTTTGTGACAAGTCAGTCTTGAACAAATCTATTGGTGCCAAAAAAATTTTCGAACAATATTTGCTCACTTTGTGTCTCTGTGTTATATTTTGGTTAAGTCTTACATCAAAATGTTCATTATTATTGTATTTGTTGTAGTGATCTGTCATCAGTGATTATGACTCACTGCTCAGATGATGATTAGCATTTTTTAGTGATAAGGTGTTCATTAAGGTATGTATATTTGTTTACACAATGCTATCACACATTTAACATACTATAGTGTAGTGTAAACATGACTTTTATATGCACCAGGAAACCAAAAAATTCATTTGACTCTCTTTATTGTGACATACTTTATTGTGGCAGTCTGGAACCAAACCCAAAATATCCCAAGGCATGCCCATATCTTTCTTGAATCTGTAAGTTTGTATCTTTTGCCAAATTTGGTAGGTTTTTGGCCATTATTTCTTTAAATATTTTCTCTTCATTGCACTTTCTTCTCTCCTTCTACAATTCAAATGACACAAGTGTTAAACTTTTTGGTATTGTCCCTTAGGTCCTAAAGTTTCTGTTAAATTTTTTTAATCTTTTCTATTGGAGGGGTGCCTGGGTGGCTCAGTCAGTTAAGCATCTTCCTTCGGCTCAGGTCATGATCCTGGAGTCCTAGGATCGAGCCCCATGTTGGGCTCACTGCTCAGTGCTCCTCTTTCTCCCTCTCTCTCTCTCAAAAAAATATATAAAATCTTCTTTAAAAGTCTTTTATGTTGGGGGGCGCCTGGGTGGCTCAGTCATTAAGCATCTGCCTTCAGCTCAGGTCATGATCCCAGGGTCCTGGGATCAAGCCCCATGTCATGCTCCCTGCTCGGCGGGAAGCCTGTTTCTCCCTCTCCCACTCCCCCTGCTTGTGTTCCTGCTCTCACTGTCTCTCTCTGTGAAATAAATAAAATCTTTAAAATATATATATATTTTATGTTGGATAATTTTTATTGATATATGTTCAAATTCACTTCAATCTTTCCTTTGTTTTCTCCATTTTGTTATTGAGCCCATCAAGTAGGTTTTAATTTTTGTTATTATTTTCCAGTTCTAAAATTTACTTTTGATCCTTTTTTTTTATAGCTTCTATTTCTCTGCTTGTCATTCTCTGAGGAGTGTTCACCTTTACTTCTTGAAACATGGTTCTCATAGCATTTGAAAGTCTTTGGTAATTCGAACATGTGTGACCTCAGTGTTGGGTCTTTTATTTTTTTTTCCCCACTGTGAGTTGAAATTTTCTTCATTCTTTGTATGTAGAATACATTTTTGTTTCTTGGACATTTTGAATAATTTTATTCTCTTGGCCTAGATTAAATCCTATGGAAGTTGATAATTTTGGTTGGTTTTAGCAGGCAATTTATTTCCATTCAGCATGCAAGTTCCAAACCACTTTCTGTGCCTTGAGGCTCCAATGTCAGTTCAGTTTTCAAAGCATTTGCAGTGTTGTTATGCTTTATGTGTGCTTCACCCACTATCCATTTTGGGACCCAGATGATGATCTACCTTCTGATTCAGTTCTCAAGGCCTTTCGTATGCTGCCTAGTGTCAGATCTACACATGTACAGCTTGAGAGTGCTGCCTCAAGTCCATACACCTTATGGGACCCCTGACTTGAGTTGCCTCCTCGCCTCTGTCTCCCCAGAACTCTTTAGTTCCCAGAGATCCCCTTCCTGATCTAGTTAGATCTAAAGAGCTTTAGTTTTCCTATTCTTTTTTTTTTTTTTTTTTTTTTACACTAGGCTCCACAGCCCACCTGGGACTTCAACTCATGACCCAGAGATCAAGAGTCACATGCTCTACCAACTGAGCCAGCCAGGCACCCCTTTAGTTTTCCTATTCTGCTGTGCCCTTCCCACAGCTAGGTCTTCCTCCAGTGCCAAGCAGTAAGAGAATAAAGAGGAAAAAAGTAATGGGAT